AATGGCCTCCAAACATCTCCCTCATGATATCCCACCATAACATTTCTGCATGTGTGTGTCGTGTCGCCAGTGCCAGACTCCAAATCTAATTACATAATTTGGCGTGACAGTCATGGTGCATTAAATAAATGGGATTGAGGGAACACCGCTCCAACATGGATTAGAAGAAGAGCTCCTGAATCCATAACATATACTGCTGCTGATGTCACAAAGAAATGAAATCACGTGCAAATATTGTTCTTGGTCAACTAATGTGGCTGCACAAACAGCGTCTGTAAACACATGTTAAGCTTTGTATTTCTCTTTAAAGCCACTGCGGGCTGTAATCTGACTACAGATCTGTAGTTTGGGGCGACTTGTGTTGTGGGGCAGGTGGACGTCTCCTGCCTGCAGTCACCCCTCTGAGCCTTCATTTGCATACAGGACCAGATTATCATTACATTATGTATTCCAAGGACAAACTGTGCGTGATGGATGATTGGTGCAGTTGAGTAATCTCCACCAAGGTGCTTTGTCCAACCTCCTATTTCTGCCTCAGAAAAAACAGAGACAGAGAAGAAGCCCGGAGCAGCATGATGAACCGCCCTGCTGCTCCAGGGTCAGAACATCTCAAATATGGCACTATTTTAATTAAATCATCTAACAGTGTCCATGTTTGTAGTTTTTTCGTACTTAGAAAAAACTGTTGATCCTGGAAAGAAGGTTTAAAATCAACTTTTCCTGAAGAGCTGAAGAAAATAACATAATCTGCTCATTGTATGATTTATATATAAGCCTATATACTCTACTGGAAAATTACACATAGTAGATTTACACTTTTATAATTGTACTATTCTTAAAGTATTTTTGATATTTTATTATAAGTAAAAAAAATGGTAGGAACGACAACATAACAAACGGGGAAGCACACACAAAAAAAAAGAATAAAATACATTTAAATAAAAATAGAACATAAGATTATTTTTGTTTTGGCGGAGTTTATAAGATAAAATTAAATAACACCAGAATTTGTAATGTGGAGGGTCAACTTAAAACTGCAACTATATATATAAATAGTAAACAATATCTCTCACTAAAAGGCAAGGAAATACAACTCAATAAAGGCTCTATAAACCAACACAATTCAACTATGAAGTGTGCTTATCTGTGATATTTGAGCTTTGTATCTTCGCGCACTAAATAAGAGTTGGGAAGTAGGACAACTTCACCTACAACAATTTTTCAATACAATACTAACAAATCATGAAAATCAACTCTCAGATATTTAAACTCTGACATCTGATACCATGAGAGACACCATCTGTGCCGCTCACATCACGGAGAGATGACCGACTCGCTGGCTCCAGGAACACGGCAGCAGCAGGAGAGGAACAACAGGTCGGTCCACGCAGGAAATGTGTGATAACATGTATCTACAGAAATAAAGCTCTCTGGTTACAGGATGTGTTCGGATTGATGTAGAAACAAAGTAGCGATGGCATGGAGTGTTTAATGCACAGAGATACAACATGACAAATGTGTGATTGATTTGGACAATGCGCTGGGAGTTTGTGTTGTAATAGTGTTAAAATAATGACAGATATTCAAGCATAATTCCACATATTTATACAAGCCCCCTGGTGTGTAATGATTCTTATTTTGTGGCGGAATAAATATTCAAGTCCTCATCTAAAGTCAAATTATGTCTGGCATCTCCAGATAATACATTATTAAGAAGATAAAATAGATTCAATATTTTATCCCCAGAGCTGAACTGTTGGTGTTGCAGACGCACAAGGACAGACATTCTATAAGAAGTTTATCAAATAAAGACCGAAAAAACCTCATTTTTTAAGACAAACACTATTTTAGTATGTGGTAATTTACTTGTTATTTTAGCATCAGGTCAATTAATTGTAATATTGAATAAATATTAAGTAAAGTATACAATATGTATAATGATTTAATATTGATATAGGTTGAATACACATTTTCAAATTATGAGAAATCATGCCATTTACTTTAAATGTTTTAACATCAGCAGTCGTTTTATTTTTAGTTTCCTCAGAAAGAAATCCTTTTTCTGAGAGCTTCCTGCCGTTAAAAGGCCACTGACAACAGAAAGGAAGTGGGATAAGGTAAACTTCAAATTCCCAGATGATTTTAGCAGGAAGTAAAAGCAGCACTAAGAGGAATTATGACTTCCTGTTCTCGGGCATTAATCAGTAATTCACTACGATGGTTCACCCTTAGATAAACATCTGTGTCCACTTCCTGCTGCTCGACAAATACATGAATACACTGAACAAAAATATAAATGCAACACTTTTGTTTTTGCTCCCATTTTTCATGAGATGAACTCAAAGATCTAAAACATTTTCTACATACAGTACACAAAATAACCATTTCTCTCAAATATTGTTCACAAATCGGAAAAAATCTGTGATAGTGAGCACTTCTCCTTTGCCGAGATAATCCATCCCACCTCACAGGTGTGGCATATCAAGATGCTGATTAGACAGCATGATTATTGCACAGGTGTGCCTTAGGCTGGCCACAATAAAAGGCCACTCTGAAACGTGCAGTTTTGCTTTATTGGGGGGGTCCGTTTTAACCCTAACATGTCACCCATTGAGCATGTTTGGGATGCTCTGGATCGGCGTATACGACAGCGTGTTCCAGTTCCTGCCAATATACAGCAACTTCGCACAGCCATTGAAGAGGATTGGACCAACATTCCACAGGCCACAATCAACAACCTGATCAACTCTATGCAAAGGAGATGTGTTGCACTGCGTGAGGCAAATGGTGGTCACACCAGATACTGACTGGTTTTCAGACCCCCCCAATAAAGCAAAACTGCACGTTTCAGAGTGGCCTTTTATTGTGGCCAGCCTAAGGCACACCTGTGCAATAATCATGCTGTCTAATCAGCATCTTGATATGCCACACCTGTGAGGTGGGATGGATTATCTCGGCAAAGGAGAAGTGCTCGCTATCACAGATTTTTTCAGATTTGTGAACAATATTTGAGAGAAATGGTTATTTTGTGTATGTAGAAAATGTTTTAGATCTTTGAGTTCATCTCATGAAAAATGGGAGCAAAAAAAAAAGTGTTGCATTTATATTTTTGTTCAGTGTACAACCTTTCTAGATTAAATACTTTGATCAATAACAAGTGCTGGAAGTACTGTATATAGTAACTCTAGAAATACTCCACTACAAAATAAAAGCATGCATTCAAGTCTTTATAGAAAGTATCAGCAACTGTGGTTTTTCTGACATTTTCGACTCTACTATAACTTTTTTTTCGACATACTACACTATGTAATTTTATCCTGAAATGTTCAACATCACTTTTATGTTGTTTTTTAGGAAATGTTCTACATACTATACTGTGTTGTTTTTTAGGAAACGACACACTATACTATGACTTTATTCCGACATATTATACCATTTAGTTTATTTTTTTGACATTATTTTCTTTAACTATTTTACCACATTATTATATATATATATATATATATATTATATTATTACTATTATACATACACATACATACACTATGACTTTTTCGACATGTTTTTTAGATTTTCCTTGATAAACTATTCAGACTTTTTTTTCCACCTACTAAACTATAACTATGTTGTTTTTCTGATATATATATATACACACTATACTGTGACGGTTTTTGCGACATACAATACTATGTTTTTTGTTTTTCTGGTCATTTAGATATTTTCAACGTCCTATACTATGTCCTTTTTTAAATATATTTTCAACTATACTATGACTTTTTCTGATATTTTTTGACATACGATAATATAATACTATGATATTTTTCTAATATTTATGCTATGTCCTTTTTTCTGGTATTTTCGACATACTATACTAGTTTGTTTTTTCAGATATTTCCAAAGTACTAAACTATGTCTTATTATTCGGATAAATGCGACATGACATTTTGACACATTATACTTGTTTTTTTATATTTTTATATACCTGTATCTAGCTTAGAAAATAAGAACACAAAGACTTCATCCTCTCAAAAAACGTATTTAATCAAAACATAATGTTGATTCATTAACAAGTTTATAAAACAGTGATTTAGTTACATAAATAAATTGATCAGTGTATCAAATCTTAGTTTCAACTTCATGAGCATGTTGACATGGTTGTACAATCATTTACCTACCGCAATAAATAAAAAGGGAGCATATTTCTAAACAAAAAGGAGCTACAAACAAGAGACAACACTGAAAGAACAGATGGAGCTTTTAAAGCACAGAATACAGTTCAGCTAAAACAAATGATAGACACTAACCAAAAGGTTGTAACCAAAGTTGTATTGGCGTATGAGAAAGGGTTGGTAGTTAAAACTACCATTTGGTTATTTTAAAGCATTAAGACAAGGCAAGAAAGAAGGCTGTTTTCGTATTCTAGAGAAAAATGAAATCAAAGAGGAGGAAAAATAAAGAGGTGAAACAGCCAAGAACGACAGTAAAGAGCAACTTTCTGTCCTGCATAAAGTCGGGATGTCAGAAGAAGAGGCGCGGACATAAAACAGCTTTTTGTGACTAAATCACTGCAGAAGAAAAACATGAAGGCAGATTTCACTTGAACATCGCAGCTGTGTGTTGTCGCTGCTCTGCCTCCACAGTGGTCTCTTTCTCTGGCCTCCTACAATACTCAATACACGTCTGTGTTCAGGAGAATACGCACGTTGCATGTCCACTTCCTGTCTTGGTTTCTGCAGCTCATTACATGTCTGCAGAGCCAAAAAGCAGCCTGTCATGTACTTCTGTTTTAAACTGTCCCCTGATGCAATGCAAGGCGAACATTTTTGAATTCCTTCTGATATGTTTTTGTTGTTTGTTTTCAAAAACCAAAAAAGTACTGCAGCTTCAAGTATTGTGCCTTACATAGAATATTCTGTCATAAATTAGTTAACATATACATTTTTTTTCAATATTCAGACATATACTTTCATATATACAGGACAATAAAATGCTTTTGTTCTCTTTCCGTTTTTTTAGTCTTTTTTTTTTTTCAAAGAGAAATCCCTGAGAATATATGTTTGACAGTTTCCACAAGACAGCTTGTTTTTTGTGTTTCTGTGACGGTAAAATAAGCATACTGAATGTTTGAGACAACACTGCAAAGCCAAAATAATCAGCCTTAAGATGAAAACTAAATTGAATCCAGTAAAATGAACTCTGATTTCGATTTTTTCTTTCTCTTCACCGATAAGTTGGCCGATGACTCAGAGGAGGAGCCAGTAAAGCTGGATCCTTTTCATAAGAGGTACTTGTCACTTCAGATGGAGTTTCTCCATTTGGTTTAAAGCCATTTGTCTTTTTCTTTGAGGCTGTTGAACGTTAGCTGAGGAAAGTAGGAGGAGTGCAAGGTGGACATTTTGCCACTGGACAATACAGTATAATATACTCAGTGTAAAACTCTTACTCTCTCGCTTTCATACATATATAAAGGGAAACACACAAACTTCCATGAATTGACTCCTTCTGCAAACGTAATGGTTTTATACACATTAATACCGGCTGTTGCTTTTATGGTTTACAGTGTTTTTTATCTTCAATTCCAAACTTGTCATTTTAAGGAGAAAATGAGCCCTAAAACACATTTTTATATCTTATTCCCATTCTCCAGGGATGTCCAGTGCTCCTGCTTGACTCACAATGAAAAGGAATATTCCTTGGGATTGAATGGGACCTTTTCCACATCACAATCACCTTCAGGAAATTGTGTTCATTATCACATTCGACCCCACAGTGCCAAATCCTGGGAATAAGATTTGCATGAATGTTGTTTTTAGGAGGACTTTCACTTCAAGTTAGAAAGGATGTTAAAAAAAAAAATGTTGGCCATTTGATCAACCAAATCTCTCTCGAACGAGCATCATGAGTTTCTTCTTGCCCTTGTAAATCTGCTTCAGGTTGTCTATGAACTGTGTGAACTGGATGTGTCCGTCGTGCGCCATCAGGAACGTTTCTCTGGCTTTACTGAGGAACTCGATGAACTCGCTGTAGTGGCGTGGGCTGATGTGTGTCAGCCGAGAGTGCGTGGTGTTGATGTAGGCCCCGATCGTGGCGTCCAGCAGCTGCCTGAGCGGAGCCTTATCGAGAGGCATCAGCTTTCCAGAGTTCCTGCGACTGTGCAGCGAGACAATGCCCGGCGTCGTTAACGTGCACCGCCGCAAAATGTCTGACAAAACGGTGGCACACTTCACGCTCTTCACCACCAGGGGGATGACGGATGCCAGTTCATTTTTCCCCAAGGAGTGACTGAGAGCACAAGCCCAGAGCACGTCGTTGATGGCCGGGTGTGTGTCTTGGTTGTAGCTGAGGTTCAGGTGAGTCATGGCTAACGTTGCTAGTTTGTACGCCCTCATAGGATAGCCGCGGTGCTCCATGTAGCGCGCTATCGTAAACAGCTGTGTGTAGTTCATTCCCGTGGAGGCTGCGTCCAGTACAATCTGATAGGCTGTCTCGAAGGCAATGTGGTCCTTCTCGCAGAGTGTGAGGGCCGACAGGGCACAGTTTTGGGGGTCCTTCATGGCACACTGCAGGGCCAGGGTTCGGGCGGAGTTGGCGAGGTTCTCCTGCTGATGGCTGTCCAGATGCAGGCGGACGATGGTGCTGTTGGACATGACGGTGCTCGCCACGACACTGGTGGCTTCGGTGGGGGTGAAGAGGGTGAACCAGCTCTGCATGATGCTGTCCAGCGCAAACACACCTAGACAGAGGGGTAAAGAAATGTCAGTTAAATAATAAAGACCTGGCGGAAAATGTTTATAAAAGTTAATGTTGGTGCTCCCCAGGGTCCAATCATAGGTCCTCCTACATTTCATATATAGGCCTTTTATATTTTTTACTGTTTTCCCTATACATGATAACTTTTTTCCCTGTACTTGTGACAGTACCCTGGTGAAATATATTGTTGGGAGTCCTTGAAGGATAAATCGGTTGACATTGTGGATGTTTCTATTGTCAACAAATCTCATTTAAAAAACAAATCAGTTTTTTTCTGATATTTTTGAAATATTATATTGTGATGTTTTTTTTTTTTATATATGTATGTCCTCTGTTGTCTAAAAGACAAGCTGGACAACTGCGAATGTAAGCTGTTGGTTTTGGTTATTTTTATGGAATTTGTTGACTAAAAGCTAAATGGTCATCAACCTAATCCATCAAATCCAGCAGCCTTGATCATATAAAATGCATATCGCATTTTAAAAAGCAAATGAATGTGAAAGTACATTCATACTACCAAAAGACGTATTCTTTTATTGTATCTTATTATTTTTAAAACATAACAACTATTAGATTGACTGATGCAAGAATCACAACAGCGAATTTATATTGAAATAAATGTCCGAAGCAGTCAGAAGTATTGCTACCCCAACTGTGTACCAAAAATCAAAGGTTTCCAAAACGCCAACAAAATAAATACGTCGCCAGTCTCACAATGACCTTTTACCTTGTAATTGGAAATTCCATTTCTAATTCTCTGACATTATATGGCTTGGCCCCACTCTACATCATCCACTGGCATGTTCTCAATGAGTCCATTCAAACTGCGCTCACAGAAACAGGGGCTCCTTGTTGCTCCCCCACATTCACAAGGAATCATCTGGGAGGAGGTTTTCCCCATACAGAGCTCCCTCCCTCCCTCCAGACACAGCTTCCTGTCCACTTCAGAGAAATTCAGCCAGAATTCAAGTCCAAACACAGGGTCCACTTAATCAACCAAAAGCCCTCAATCTTCCATAATTACTGCCCTGCCAGTCATTCATACCATCCCGCCGAGAGCCCTCCAAAACCCACTTTAAAAGTCTTGTCAAGGTTTCCCTAATTCGCTAAACCGCTTCACTGAACAGAAGACGTCCAATCATATCATGGGTGGATATTCAGAATCTCAGGGGTTGTTTTATTAAGCATAACCGAAATAAACTAAATTACCCGAGTTCTGTACATAGACTTTTTTTTGGTACTTGTCGTTCCAATTCATGCTACTTTACACATTAATACATGTATTCTGCTGATAATTTTTACAAAAAAGACCACATATATATTTATAAATTAACGTTACGTAAACCACCAAATATATGTATATACTTTTCCATTGGTGAATAAATTGAGGTCAACATGGCTGCCTACGTTATAACCATAGGTTATAACACATCAACAACAATTATAATGTACTATAACACACAACTTTCTTTTATTCAGAGTATTACTTCCATCTAGGCCAAAATGTATGCAATGCAGCAACATAACTAAATGGTTGTTTGAGGAACAACAATCCAACCCAAACGTGTTACCAAGTCCATCCTCTTTTACTTAAAAGCTTTTTCTCTTGTTTGAAAATATGAATAAACGACATTAATCTTCTGAGTTGTAAGACTTTTGTTTGGATATCATCCAAACAGCGTTATGTTAGAAACTAATTTATAGTGGAAGTGACTGCCTCTGCAAGGGTGGTGGAAATGTAAAGACCTATACAGTCTATGGTAAAGACTGATTGCTTCAAAAATAACTTTATGTGGTGAATCTGTCCGTTACTAGAGCGAATACATGTTTCGTTGGGAAACCTCACCTGCTTCGGTTGCACAGGTCACCAGCCATCTCACCATCTCCCTCCGCCGCCAGTTCAAGGTAGACAGCGTCATTCTCATCACCTGTAAGAAACACAAGGTTAGCTGTCTGTGTGATGTTAACTTTGTTTCTTTGTGTGATGTGTGTTTTTTTACCTGAAGACCCAGCTCCAGGGACACTTTGAGCAGCGTGATGTCTGGCAGGCTGTCCATGAGCGTGGCGATTTTGAAGGCATCCTGGGCCAGTTTGAAGATGTGGGACGAGGAGTGGATGTTCTTCTGGATGGACTCTAACACTGTTTCTAGCTTACGAGCATCACCTGGGAAAACAAACAAAAGCATAAGTCAATCTCAACTTCCTGCAGGTGAAAGCCTCTTACTGTGGATGTGACAACCTCCAACACATCACCACGAAAACTAATTCAAGGTCTACAGAATTCAGTTGCATAAAATAAGGCATACCAAGGGATTGAAAAATCTTTAATTAAATGTACACAGGTTTTAATCTTTTTTTTGTCTGTTGTAGGCATTTACAATATGTAGTTATTTGAGATGCTAAACATTTATAAACTCGACTTTTATTGCGGTCAACTCAAAATGGACCGTTACGAAAGCAAACAAATATTAAAAAATGTTGCAAAAACTGAATAAAGCTTCATTTGTTTTAAAAAATGTACCCATCCATCACTTCATTTTCTAGTTATCGGGTACAACATCAACATATTGTTTATCTAGAAATTTTTATTAAATACAACTGGGAAGAAAACAAATATAAATGCCCATGATTTGAAATGCTTATTTTATAACTGTATGAATGCCACTACTTGAGCGTGGCACATAGTATGAATAATAAAGGATAAGTCAAATCCACATAAACACTGTCTCTTAAGGTTGTGTGTGTACCTTTAGCAGCAGTTAGCATGGTGGAGGCCAGTTCACACTGCTGGGTCTCGATGTGGCTGAGTGTGAACCAGCGGGGGAGGCGGTTGGGCATCACGGACACGATGTGGTGAGGCCGAGACAGATCGGCAGAGGGGGCAGTGGACTCCAGCACCGGCAGCCTGAGCACAGAGGACAACACTTTATTAGATCTTTATTAGATGGAAGCACACAGGAACGTATATATATATATATGAGGTAGGAGTAGTTTCTTTTATAGAACCAATCAATAGTTCTCTTCAGGTGGAGCTTTGCCTCGAGCTACGCTAAGGAGGAGTTTAAAAATAACATCTCAATTTGTGTTTCCCTCAAACACTCACAAAGCTGCTGTGAGCTGTGATCCTCCATTTTAATATTTCCTCTTTTGTAATGTTGGTAGAGCAGACAGACATTTTTGTAAAACTCTTGGCGGTCAGGAAGAAAACCAACAGCATCTATTTATTATTCACACATTTGTTATAAAACTCAGCAGCTTGAATTATTTAGTGAATATTCCAGGAAAAGGAGGTTGTCATTAAACAGTGTCCCCAATAGCTTTTATTTTCCTCTGAGCTTCTGCATCACCCTCATTCAAACCCAAACTTAAAGGAGGAGGAGCAACATGCATTAAAGTTGTAGTTCAATCCAGGGCTAGAACTTCCCGTCTCTCACTCTTTATTTCTGCTTCTCCTCATTTTGTGTCCACACTAAGGTCTAAATGCATATTTCTTTACTCATTTCACCCCTTTGGAAATCACTTTTCTTTCCCCAAAACACTTTTCAAGGTGTGTAAAACAGCATCTTGTGATTTCAGGTTCTACGATAAATACTAAGCATTTTGAAAATGATGTCACGTAGCAACTCTAAAGTTAATAAAAACTTTATTTTTCCTGAAACTCTCCTTGTGATTGGTCATTTTAAATGTCAATATAGCCGTATAAACAGCACGCTTTTTACTTCTGTTTGGAAGGGAGCCATGTAGAGTTATTCATGCATGAGACCAGCATGTTAAATTGAGTAAAGACAGCTCTTAAAAAGGAAGGTGTCGTACTCACCGCATGGCCCTCAGTGCAATGTTGTACGTCAGTTCGACGTCATGAGGTAGCAGGGAGGTGAAGAGATACTTGGCAAAAGTGTGCATGGGGACGCTTTCTCTGTAGAGTATTTCCCCCAAACCACTGTAGGGACCAGCTGCAGGAACAACAACAACAGGACATGATACATGAGTTCAGTCTGTACAACCTGCAGACAGATCAATGTACAAACACAGAGCTGCATGCTCACATTTTACTGCACAGCGACCTCGGTCATAAGATTATTTTACACTCTGACAGTCAGCAAGTTTGATATGGCTGATTTAAAAACAGCTATGACTCGCTGTGTATCAGGACGACCATCACTCCCTTGGTCAACCTCCACAATCGTACAGGGACTTTTGGAATATTATGTTAGGGAAACTTCCAAAAGAAACTGCAAGAATCATAAGTTTAAGGGTTGAAATAATAAATAACTTTAGCTTATCATTTGTAGAAAAGCCCTAGAAAGAAAGGAAGACATGGGGGATGATGGATTACCTGCCCTACCAGGTTATCTACTGGGGTGCATATTAATGCTTTTCTTTAAGATAATAACTCAATTATAGATTAGAGCAGTTGCTTGATCTTAAAAGTATCTCAATATTTTAAAGGATTAGACTAGCTTTAGTGTTTTCTTTTGCTAAAAGTACCAAAATCAACGATGTGTTAGTCTTTCTCTAAAGACTTATTCAATTGCCTACTTGTATTTTATTTTTCAAAATGAGGAATATAAATCTGAATATTAATGCTTTAATTATAAAAGATAAACTCATTGTTGGTCTTGATCTTTGAAAGGGATTTGTTGACAAAATGAATAACGGACTTCCTGTGGGCCTCACACGCAGAAGAAGCCAAACGTGAGAGGTCGAGCGGCTCTATCATTAGTGGCTTTGGAGAGGAAGGGCCTAGAACCATGACAAGCCACAACTCACACAGGCTTATTATACCCCTCTGTACACATTCATGCATTCATTCACACAATGTCAGCAAACAGAGGGACAAAGCAAACAATACACTCACACAACTGAATACAGAAGTACAAAGTGTAAATGTACACATGCTGCACAGAAAAGCACACAGTTAACACAACACCACACACACTTAACAGATCATTAGAGCACCAACAGCTGGTTGTGGGTCAAGGAGTGAAATATGTATCTGCTCGATGCATTTAAAAACAATCGACATTTTAGGAAATGCAATTGTTAGCTCTATTTCGATTAAGTTTGTTAAAATATCAAAGGTCCAAATATTTAAATGTCAGAACATTCTGGTGTCTCAACTCTTTCTCATCCCAGATGTATTCATTCATAAAAGATTGTAAAAATATTTAAGTCATTTCAAACTACTCCTTTTCAATTGAACAGTCTGCTAAAGTGCTGAACTAAGGTGGTGAACACGGTACAAGTGCAGCATCGCAGAGATGACGGTATAGTTTTGCACTTTTATCATTTCGTTTTTTGCTTTCGTTTTGACGGTTTGTTATATCTTGAAATTGGATGATTGTAAAACTCATCAAACCCAAATATATTCAATTAATATCCTGAGACAAAGAGCAGCAGCAAAACCTCCCAACCAGAAAATGCTTTACATACATTACAATGCTTCGATCTCAGCCCCCCACTCACCCTCTAGCAGGAAAGCGGCTTGTTTCCGGAAGATTTTCACCAACGTATCGTCTAGGTCGATCTCTTGGAGCTTGGCCAGTAGCTGCTCTTCGTTGCGACAGACCTTCTCCTGAGCGTAGAGGCCGTCCGGCATCACCCTCTGCTGCCCCAGGCCGATCAGGGCCGTCTCCACGGCCAGCGACACCAGCGACTCCCCCTCCTCCAGGAAGCGCTGCGTCTGCAGAACCGGACGCTCCATCCTCCGACCTGCACCCAGAGGACCTGAGGGGAGGCAGAGGGGGGGGGAGATGTTAAGGGGGGAAAGATGTTCCCTTTGGGAGGCGGATCGAGCAGAGTATTGATCAATCTATTGATCTATCTGTTCTTTTCAGAGTGAGTATCCTCCTGAGGACCGTCATCATGTGTTTTAATGGCATAATGATGTCTTGGCAGACCTCACAGTCCGTCCCAGGAGGTTAAAAGTCCCTAGTGAACACACACACACACACACACATATGAAAAAACAGAGTGCTGGAAGTCCCAATTGAAAACTTTCACAACTTGTGAAAAGGCTTTCTTGGTTCACATTTAGAAGTGAAACAAATGAGTGAAGAACAATCCCCGTCCTTTCAGTTTGTTGAAATTCTTCTCCTCGCTGAGCTCTCTGCATAATTAATGCATTTTAATTGGAGTGTTTTTCCTGCTGCATTTCTTATTCATGAGCTGTTATTGGAGGATGACTACGGGCCAATCAGCACGTCTGTGTCATCACTGCTGATTGCAACCTGCGGGCCTTGAGCTCCGACAGGAAGACGCAATCAATGCAATGTAAATGTTGGACGCACACTCAGTGTGTTTGTGTAGTGTGTTGAAGTGCATTTCCTCAAGTTCTGTACTCAAGGGCCATTTTGGAGGTATTTCAAATGAGTATTTCCTCCTTTTTGACATTATACCTTAAATAAATTACATCTCATATTATATTTTACATGTAAAATACACAATGAGTTCACATCACATTGTGTATATTAATCTGGTTTCTAGTTAGGGCTTCCTTCTAAGAGAGAAAAACTGTCATTTAAACAATGTTGACTACTTTGCAAATTTGTATTTTCAAATAGTTATATTGGTACTTTTTAATAAGTAAGCCTGTTGCCGTGGGTACCTCTGAATGTACCTGAGAAGTCTCGCAGTGTGGCGGCCCCTTCCTCGCTGTTCCTCCACGACTCCATCAGGGTGCTGATCAGGGTGCCAATGGGGTCCAGAGGGTGCCCCACCCAGCCCTCCAGGTTAGTGACAGATGTGGTTCCTTTATGGAGCAGCTCTGCAGGAACACCAACTCTTAATAATATATTCGTAATACTTGGTGATACCATCAGTAACACTACAGCTTCAACAATATTGAAGAAGTGGAATTTAAGACAGAGTGCAATTAAATACCTGTTTTAGCAAAGATATGTCCCAAGAAGGACAGAAGATCAGTAGCTACAATAAGACCTACAATTAATGCTTGTAATATAATTATTAAAACCAATTAACATGACCTGGACCCAGAAGAGTGGCAGAAAATGGATGGCTTGGTTAACAAATTAAAATATGTGTTATTATAAATTAATTTCTCACGGCAGCCGTCAACCATGTACAAAATAATTCAAATGATTAATAATGTGTTTTTTTTAAAAAGCCATTGTAGAGGAAATGCAACATTTTATTTACACCTTGTCTTTTAGGGAATTTAGCTGTTAGTAAGAACTTTCAAGACTGCAATATGGTGTCAGGAGATGAGACAGAAAACGTGTGTTTCAGCTCGTAGCAGAATATGATTTATTTGCTTTTTTCCTTCATCTTAGTGATACTTTTGTGAATGAATGAAGCCATTAAGGATTCTAATCTTATTTATTTTGCTGGTAAAATCGACAAAGAGGAAATGGAAAAATAAATACAAATTTAGAGCCCAATTTTAACATTTGAATGTTTTTGTGGGAAATGTATGTGACTTCCTTTTTAAAAGGTTTATTTCTTCTATGCAGGTTTGAAAATCTAAATCTAAATAAAAGATATAATAGCAAGTGTTAGAAATAGTAAAAAGCAACATTTAAATGTAATACAAACTGACCTTTTTTGTGAGTGCGGAAGAAGTCCATCTGTTTCTGCTGTTGCCTCCGCAGTGTGTTCACGATGGCGATGGCGAGCCTGAGTGCTTCTTTGGGGAAACCATGTGACCTCAGAGCGTCGACGCGGGCGCAGGCGGTCGGGACGTGCTCTGCAGGGAGGAACAACAACAATAAATACATCATATCTACTGTCATACACCTTTATTTTTATTCCTTTTCATTAAATTCCCCGTAAATAATGTGTCCTCGCTCTCACCGTGCCACAGGGGCCACCCTCGGGGGTCGAACAGGGAGCTGTCGAGGTTGTCATGGTAACAGTAGTGGATGTAGTGGTCCTCTGTGATAATGTGCTGAAGGTGGGGGTCCTGCCAGTGCAGGTCGCACGCCTCGATCGCCCGGGTGAACACGGTCCGGTGAGGCCGCGTGAGAGAGTCTGAGAGGAGAGAGGAGAGAAATGAGTCAGACGCTGTGAGGGGGGAGAGGGGAGGCAAAGATACTGTGTGAGGGGAAAGAAACAGTTGCATGCTGGGAAGTTACTTTAGTTTGTGCCACTGATTGGCCCAATAAGGTCAGCAGCAGCAGAGATTGTGAAACACGCTCAGGAAGGCTATTTATGTACTTTTAAACCTTTAGAAGACCGCTGCGATTTGAGTCAAATACTCCATCTAAGAAGTCATAACTACATATAAATATATTTGTATATTCAGCGAATCTTAAACTTTCCCATGATATAATTATATCTGATGGGAATCATGAATAAATGTCCATAAATTTGCTTAGAAATAATAAAAAAGGCACTTTCTTTTAACCAGACCGTGCATGAGAATCACATGTATTGTATATGTATTTTTCAGTATTAAAGTATTCTTGTGACAATTGTCTGTACATCTATGGGTACATTGCAAACAATGTGTTTATAGCTGGATCAGCATACTTTTAATAGTGCAGATTTGCCAGAATAAAAGCAAAAAGGGCCATAAAACAAGTTCACACAGAATTGAATATGTTGTTGCCCACAGCGTAGCTCCATGTCGACTCCATTGCAACATTATACTCCTTTTTGGGTTCTGGACATTTGAAAACTACTTATAATTACTTAGTAAGAGGAAAAGAAAGTAGCAGAAAAATTATTCCTTATAATATATATAATTGTTTTCTTAATTCTTGTCTAACTGCTTTTTTGTCTAAATATCTATAAAAAAAAACAATGCATGGCCAGTACAGACAAATCAGCAGCAGTAATAGCAGCGTCTCTCTTCCCTTTAAACCTTTTTATTACCAACTGATAGAAACGTTTGTGTGTCTGGGTTTTCTTTGATTTGGTGGAAAAGGCTGCAGGACCTGAAATGTGTTATTAGGCCCATTCTATTAGCCACACTAAAAAGGTAATAAGGCTCGCAGGCACAGAGATTGAAGAAAGGAGACTTGATTAAAAGAGAGGGGGGAGGGGGGAGAAAGAAACCTCAACAGTGTTAAAACAGAAGAGGGGGAGGAGGTGCTGCAGGAGGGAGGAGAAAGAAAAGCTCCAGATGTGATGTACGGGAGGATTTGGGAGATAAAAAAGGGGGGAGGCAGGTGTCATCTCACCTGGGTTGCCGGGGGGGCCCTGGGGTAGAGCGTTGGTCAGATTGGTCAGCTCGCTGCCATGGTTACCGTCCTCCAAGGGACACACGTCCACGCTGTTCCACCTGCGAAGCTGCCGCAGCCAGAAGCCCTTCTGCTCGGGCTTATAGTGGGGGTTCAGCACGATGCACATCCACAGGGCGCCTGCACACACACACACACACACACACACTATTTTTCAGAAAACAGTCCAAAGCACAAATATATATATAGAGAAATCTCACTTTTTAAAAGGATAGAATCAAAAACTGTTTTGAATTTCTGATAAATGAAAATGTTCACTAATCATGGTTTACTAATGATTATATAGGCAAGCCCACTGCGAGCTGGGACTATCACGGACTACACTAAATGGTTTCTCTGCTCATTAACAGAAACAAAGAGAGAAAAACACCAGTGGTTAGCACATTGTTATAACCATTCTTTTTTAAAGTACTTTAATGATTTATTGCAGGTGCTGAATACGAATAAAAATATAACCGCCATTATTATTTCCACGTCCATAGTGATGTTTTCAAATATTTTATATGATTTTTTTTGCAAAACCCTTTCATAGGTATTAAATATATGAAACAGAAAAAATCAGCAAATCCTAGTTTTGGAGAAGCTGGATTACCACTAATAAAATACATGAATAAAATATGAATAGTTGTGAAAACGTGAGCTAAGTTCAGCAGCCTTGTGGCTACAAACATGAAGACACTAGAGATAGATCTGAAAAGGAACACACATGAAGACTGAGAAGGAGAGAACAATGAACACGTTGAGGATAAATACGGGATGACAGATGACAAAATGAAACAGGAGAAGAAAAGAAAGGAAGTGAAGTGAGAAAAAACAGGAGGACAGGGAAGGGGGAAGTGAATGCAGAGGGAGGGAGGCTGAGGATGGGGGGAGGGGACGGGAGGAGATGGGCTTTATCCTCTGTCTCTTTGTTAGGGCTGCTTCAATGACAACAACGAGGGAATGGAAAACTGAGCGCTGAGAAAAAGATGGCAGACATGAGTGACGAAATGCAGAGCAAGAACATATAATGGGTTGGTGTTGGTCAGTGAGTGAGGGGGATATTTGGTAAAGAAGAACAACAACAACAGAGGGGACAGAAGGTGTGAAAGAAGACTATGGTAACATAAAGGTGGTCTAATTGAACATGTTGCATCACCCTATTGGTCATGAGCCAAGCCAGGCTCATTCTCAAGGGATTCTAACCCTTTTTTCATTCATAGCAAAGTAATTTAAGCTTTTATCATGTTCCTGCATCTAAAAGCGAAGGTATTTCTGCACAGGGACACCAGAAAACAGAAGATGTGTATTTGTATTTACATACACATGTATTCTGGGCTTTTTAAATAAAGGACATCTGATGATTTACACCAAAGAATCTGACATTTCCATTGAATCCAAAGCAACAATTTCCTGCACTCCAAAATGACGTGATTAAATGTTTTCTGTTGCTTTTCACATTCCAAAACCCAAACACATTAGGTTTACAAATATTTTAAAATGGAGAAATGCACATAATGTTCACATTAGAGACACTTATCCAGATATTTTTGCTTAAAAAAAAGGGAACTGAAAGACTATTTCCTTACACAAATGAGTTGAAGAACTCATAGATAAATTGCCTAATTCATTTAAAAAATGTCTTAAGAAACATGTATTTAAAGCACAATTTCTTTACATTGTACTGACATATAACTGGTATTCAGGATTGCTGCTGTGTCTTTGCGGATGTGTGTGTGCCTCTGTGCGGTTGTGTGTGTGTGTGTTAGGGCTGTACCCGAATATCCGAATATTCGTTCGTTGGAGTACAATTCGGGTTTCAATTTCGTTATTCGGATATTCGTTTTTTTGCCAAATTGAATTTATTGAAATCTCCAATATAAACGTAAAAGCTTGTGCCTCCTCGGGGGGTGCTAACACTTAACCATCAACTTTCTCCTTTACTTTCTCCGTCATATATATATACATACATACATACATATATATATATACATATACACAGATACATATATACATACATACATATATATATATACACACACATACAAATATATATATATACATAAATATATATATATACACACACACATATATATATATATGGACTTGATATTCTGTACAAACTGTGAAGTCCACTGAGACAAATGTAACATTTGTGATATTGGGCAATATAAATAAACATTGATTGATTGATTGAGATATGACTTTTTCTCCGTTAATCTCCGTCACGTTGTTTCCATAGCAACTACAACTTCCTGTCAACAGCGCTAACTCTCCTTCAAAATAAAAGCATGTCCATACAAAATAGGAAGCCAAGCCAAATTACACTTAAGACATACTACAACTGCAACAAAAGTAACAAACACAATGCAATATCTTTTCCAATTTCAAAGAACACAAATTGGGTTGTATACATTAAAAAATAACTAGAAAACAACAATACTGTAGAATAAATAAATGAATGCCGTGAATAAACCGAAATACACGTGTTGAAGCGGTTCGCTACTGATTACTACGCACACCCCCCCCCTGCGCGGGCCGAATATCTGACACATGGTATTCAGGACAGCCCTAGTGTGTGTACATCTGTGTGTTTGTGAGTGTTACCTAGTTCGTCCCACAGCTGCCTGTACTTGTCCGTCATGGTGGTCCCCTGCTGCCTCCACAGCGCCAGTCTGGGGTCACCCATGAACTGCTCTGTGATCAGCGTTAACATGCGCGCTCCGTTTGAGTCCCTCATCTTCAGCATCTCCCTCACCTGCAGAGACCAAGGGGCATTGTGGGTAAACATGGCCATTCAGCTGCTGCCACAATGCGGTGTGATGACGTTTGTTGGGAATGATTGTGTTACCTTGCTGAACAGCAAGTTGAGCTGCTTCCCCGAGCCGTGGTAGCCGCCCTGGGAGAGGAAGAGCTTGACCTGCTCCTGAACCTGCTCTTCGTCCAGGTGCCAGCAGTTCTCATCGTCCACGCTGGCGCCCGCCGTCGGGTCCGGAGCTCCTGAAACCAACAAAGAACATCAGTCAGGAACTCATTACAAGAGCAGGAGGTCATCAGACTGATTCAGTCATTCAGTGGCGGAGAAAGTCCTAAGATTTAGTAGCAATACCTCGGTGAAGAAATGTTCTGTTTAGTTGGATTCGATGTCTTAATTCAGTAAAAGTATAAAAGCCTTGGCATCAAAATATAAGTATTCATTATGCATTTTTCAGTATCATAATAATTGATTAATTAATACTACGGCATGAAAATGTGGAGCTAATATAAATATACTACCCGGAAGCTTTATATATATATATATAATTTTTTAGTGTGTGCGCGTGCGAAGTGCGCCCCGCCAATTTGTTTCTATGTGTCAGCACAAGAAAGGCTCTTGAGGCCTAGTACCAGGGCCGGTTCTAGACAATTTGCTGCCCTTGGTGAGATTTAAGGCGACATTTTATGTGTAAAGAATAAATGAAAAATCTCTACAAAAGACAAATACACTGCAAAAACAGAAACTTATTGACATAGGTAATAGAGGTCAAAATGGCTTCAAATGTATTCAGTATTGTATGAACATGTTTGAATTTGGGGGTGGACGTCAAATCCTCTAGGGGGGTCCGGGGGTATGCCCTCCCGGGAAGATTTTTTTTGAACATTTTACAGTAAAATGCTTCAATCTGGTGCATTTTGAGCACAGAATTACTAGAAACCTGATCTAGGGGGTACAACTCTAAAACGCCCATATGAAAAAGATCGGTTTACATTTTAATAATCAAATAAGTATGTGAACATAACCAATACCCTACCATAGCCAATAACAAATAAATGTAGGCTAACTTATTTTATTTTNACAGAATGGAGCTCAAATTATTTTTCTCTTGCGGGTTTACCAAAAGGTGAGTTCCTTTTTTTATTTCCTGCTTTTTAAACAGGTCTCCAGTACAGGTTAGCTGTGAGTGTTAGCGATGCTTGCTAATGTAAACAAATACCATATTATGTCCAAAACACGTCAGGCATTGTTTCTGATAGCAATTCTCTGTGGGTCCACCATCCGAAATGACATCATATCGGCAGCAAATCTGTATCCGCTCGTTGTACCCCCGTTTTTAAAAGATGTGGGTACGGAGGAAAAGAGAAAGGGTTTTATTTTCTGACGCTGCATGAGTTCTGCGACACACCGGGGACACATATTTATGTATAACAGACATCAAAAAGTGCATTTTGCATGATAGGTCCCTTTAAGAAATACCTACAATATAAACAGAGCAGAAGTTTATTAGACTTAAGTCATTATACTTTTTTAATTTGCCGAGTGCCGATTTAAAATGGTCCGCGGGCCGTATTTGGTAAAAAAAAAGAAGTATTACTACAGTACAGAACCAGAACGTAAAATGGAAATACTCAAACCTACTTTAGCAACTTTCCACCACTGCATACATGTGTTCAATTGAGACAGAAAAAAGATGTCAAGGATTTATAAAACATTTCACTGTCAACAAAAGCCTTTTGTGTCTTAGGTCTTATTTATCTTCATTCTGTGTGTGTAAAGATCTGCGGCAGCACCTGATAACTCGACTGACACACACAACAAAGGTGGTAATTAATCTCAGAGAGTGTAAAATTCCACACTGTGCCAAAGCTTCCATAACTCCACACCCATCACACCTCATTGTTAACAGTCAGATAACACTAACAACCGCCCCAGGGCCACATCTGCTCCGTGAGCGAACAAATCAAAAATTCAACCACCTAGGAGATTTGCAGGATGTTGCAGCATTTAAGCGTTTCCTCTCACAAATAACTAAGAGAAATGTGTTCAATCGTGACAGACAAGACAAATCAGATTACAGCTTGCTACATCATACTCTCGTTGGATATATTTGTAGAACAATAATATATGTAAACTAATTTTCTGGGGCTGTGTTTTTTTTTTAATAGTATGGCAATCTCAGCTCACAAATATTTTCATCTTTTGCAGCAGTGTGCTCTGTGGTTAACCGTGTCTCCTGGATATTGTGTTCATATTTCGTCACAGCACACAGGTTTAAAAATAATTGTAAATATGCCCCAATAAAGATTTGATCAGAACATTTGTAATGAAGACATGTGCAAAGTAACAAGATGTTCTAAGTTTCTGCATTATTTCTGACAATGTTCTTTATCTTTCTCGTACAATTAATGCTCTTTAAGTTATGTTCAGAAACTCAAAGCACTTTAACAAAGGTTAAAGGTTCCTAATGGAGTTTTTTCCCAGTAGCACTCTAGATTTTTTTACGAGTGCAATGTTTTGTTTGTCCACTTTTAAGCACACAAGAACGTAGGTGAGCGTATGGGTGACACAATAGACAATCCTGCCATACTTTCTCATGAATGCACTGAGCCATAGGTGACGGTACCATTCATAACAATGCAGAAATGTGTAAGAAAATGCACGGCAGAAGACGACCAGCACATTTTTTCATTCAAGAAGAAATGCACTCAACAAGGATACACGCAAAGTTGGGGAGAATGTATACTGTAGGACAGTGGTTCCCAACCTTTTTCATTTGGATTCCCGCTGTATGAAGAAATTAAAGGACGGCACGGAAGTGGAAACAATTCACAAAGGGATTAAACTGTTTAAAACACATGCTCAAAGTAAGCCGGATTTTGCCGATGCAGTTTATGTGGATTCAAAAGTCGTAAATAATCTACAAAATGGAGGAGACCGATCTGATCGGAGCAACTGTGACAAATAATCCAACTGAAACCGGCATGGACAATGACTATGTTTTAAAAATGCGCTTATCCAGAAAAGCCCGGACACTTTACGGGCAGAAGAAACATTTCTATTGAAGAAAGAATGATACATTTCTGTCTTTTTATGCCTTTAATAGCTACTAACTTGAATTGTTATTCAAATCAATTATTTTTTATATTTGATTGTAATGTAGAGACAAGGCTTTTAGTTACAATCATGTATTGCTTTACAATTCTATGTAAAAAAAGGTTGGGAACCACTGCTGTAGGAGACTGGTTGCTGTGTTTATATCACTGCAGCGTAATATCTTAGAAGGAATTCATGACATTTTCTTTGTAATTGATCAAAGATGAGACATACCGAAGGCATTTGTGGAACTCTTTGCACCTCTCTAGCGAGCAAACCATGAAACAGTTTGTTAGCAGAAAATGCAGGTCGTTTAGTTCCCAAAACATGTATCTTTTGTAAGGGCATTGACAACAGGACGTTGAGGTAGTAGGGGTGTCCAAATGTGTCATGTCAGCAGCCTGTGCTTCAGTCTGATTGATCCTGCATATGCGGTTCCTTGACCTTGCATCGCACTATGAGACCTGCATCCCTGTCATCGTCGCCCGATCTGTCTTTTTTTGTATTGACAACAAACAAAATGAATATATTCAGAATGTGTGATTTAGCAAATGGAGAGGTTTGTGTTGTTTTATGTTGGTTTTAAGGGGGAAGGCTTTAAAATGTTGGCTCAAACTGCTAAACAATAATGAATAATAATCATCCTGATAAAGAGGCCTGTTTATTTGTTTCACTAAAGGACTCCCAAGATGAAAAAGAATGCTCAACTTTGTTATTAAAGATTTGATCCACCCTGATAAATGGGTTTACAGTTAGGTAAACTGAGTAAAGTCTTAATATGAGTTTTATTCATCCCCTGTTTCATCCGTCATCCTCTGAACAGCTTTGCAAACATTTAAAATGGTCCTACTGGCAGGAAAAACATTGCTTAGCTTTTCATTTAACTGATGAAAAAGGGAAAACTCCAGTACAGCTGATAGTGTAACTCATGTATATTTCCCCCACATTTCTTTCAGAGCAATTACAAAAATTACTTCCTCTGAAAAACCAGAATATAAGCCAACAGTGTGAGACTGAAAAAACAATCTTATCTAACAATCATTGCCTCTGGATTTCAGATAAACCCCTCTCTCCTTTATCAAACCGTATGATAATTCTAATGCGAAAAAATGTAGAACAAGGGAATTCTGCGACATGATAACCTTGTCTTTCTATCTTACCAGGAACGTTTCATAGGTTGTAGGAATAGGACACAAGGGGCCATAACCTGTACATGTCATACTGGGTACATTACTTGTCCAACATAGAACATGAATCTGTTGTGCTTTGCATTATTGTGCAGTCACAGCTTTGCACATGCAGTAGATTGAGGCTGCAAGGAGAGGATCAGCACAGGTGAAGGTTGTGTACAGTGCAGATACTCTAAGAAATCAATGCTGGTTATACGTGTGATGGAGATGCTTTTAGGAATCCATGGCATATTTGTTTGTGCAGTACTGAAGAACTGAGTGTATTAGCAGAAGTGATGCATTCAGTTCTACTTCATATCCCTTAAATATGGTAGATACAGTTTGTTAAGATGCAGAAATAATACTGTAACTCACACGTATTAATATAGATTTTGCAAACACAGACTTCATATCATTATTTACAACTGTTGCATAGTTGAATGCACTTACTGTATATGTTTTGGACTGGGACTAAAAATCAGCCCGGGACACTCGACCGGCCGACCGGCCCTACTCGGTACCGCTAGTAAATTGTCAACGGGGTGGGTGCAAGTGAATTGTCCGACCGGCCCACTTCGGTACCGGCCCACCGGGAAATCTCTCGGTATTCCTAATGGCCAGTCCGCCCCTGTTGCCCAGGTGCACCGAATGAATTTCAAACCACGAAAGAGTTGGTTGTAGAACCTCCCATGAAACCACAACTGGTAAGGATCAAATAATAAAGATGTTTCACATTGTTTGTAGGAAAAAGTTAAAAGAACAAATGCAAATTATTTTGTAAAATAACTTGATATCAGAGGCAGGATGTCAGTCTGAACCGAGTGAACAAAGAAAACAGGGAGCAGGCAAAAATCCGAAAACATTGAAAAATACAAACAAAACAAACACAAATATGGTAGAAACAGGGAAAACAAGGGAGTGGATTAACCAGGAGGAACTCATTTCAAAATCGGGGGCAGGTGAGCATGAGGGATGAGGACATTCTGGGAGGTGGGAGACATACGAGGGCAGGAAATGAAGTTGAATACATTAGTATTTTACTAAATAAAATGTGAAAATTCAGATGTTAAACCCCCACGTCCTGACTTCCTTGTTACTATGTGGTAAGTCATTTGTGTACAAATGTGTACTTTAAACAATGAATTTGCTCATAATTAATATAACAGATGACTGCAATCATTACAAATAACAAGAGGTCCTCAGGTAATAAAGGCTTGTGCCAAAAAGGCTTGTTAACAATGCAACAAAGCTGATTCCAAATATGTCAAAAACATGTCCTGATAAACAAGCAATTTGGAATTCAATTGCTGAGCTACATGTGGAAATAATCTGGGCCTTGAAGAGCACAAGCAGAGGTCTTTTGGAGCTGCATGTGCACTGAATACAACAGGCTGTGGATCTAAGTTCGGACACCTGGTTAGGATTCCCCGCAAGCACCTTCTCCTTGGAAGCGTTTCAAGCATAAATTAATGGGAGAGACCAGCCAAGAAGGAGACGGGGGCAGAGCAGAACATGCTGTAGGAGTTACATCTCCATTTGAGGTCCCCCAGGGAGAGGTGGGAGCGAGTGTGGAGGGCAAAGGCGGCTGAACTGCTGAGCTTCCCCTGCTGCAACCCTGTCAAGGATAATAAGTACCTTGAAGAAGGATTGACAGATGGAGAATTGTTTGGTAGTTGTTGCTGTGTACTGGATTTCTGTTCCAATTACTTGTGTGTAGGCGAGTGGGGCGAACAGGGTTAAAATTATCAACAAAATGAAAGGTAGGTTCACGGTTTATTCCTGTAGATCGCACAATATTTTACAAACTATGTCGCGAAAAAATAGTTAAAGGTCACCTATTGTGCAAAATCCACTTTTTCCGTGTAAAGAGATTCTGTAAGTGTCAGGAAAAAAGATTCTCTCTCTTTTTGTCCTGATCCATTTATATAAAAACCTGTCTGAAAATGAGCTGATCAGATTTTGTCCACTTCATAACGATTTTTTGGCTTGTGTAACCATTAGCCAATCACCAGCCAAGGTAACCCCCTCCCACCTTATCACCTGAATCTCCTCCTAGAGCACCATTGTGTTCTTTTTAACAAAATCTCTCTCAGAGGGGTGTGGGGAGTGGCTCCTTATTTTCATCTAAAGTAACAGACAGAGAATCAGCACTTTTGAAACAGGGCTGAAACAGAGGGGATTATGCTATGCTACAATGATCTGTTTGGTATTTGGAGCCAAACACAGAGACATGTTTTGTATATATCTGAGACCTATAATATGTTGATGAAAAACAGTATAATAGGGGACCTTTAATATTATGTTCTGTAGATGCACAACGAGCATATTAATGTATTATATAAGTATTTTTAACCTTTTCAATTATTTTCTTACTTAAAAAGATGGCCCAATGACACCAGTGATTGCAGCACCTTCCATGGCTCTAACAGGACAAATGGTAACCCTCAACTGCTCAAGTGACTCTCATCCACCCAGTCACATAAGCTGGTACTTCAACGGATCCCTGCAGACTACCACCTCAGAACTAGTGATTGGACCTCTGACCTTCAATATGAGCGGGCAGTACAGATGCATGGCCCACAACAACATCACCGGCAAAAACAGCTCAGCTGACACAATGCTCACAATTTTGGGTAACTAAGTATACAATGATATGTTGAAGATTTTTGAAGGGAGGCCCTCTAGCCTGGCTCTATCCAAACATAGCAAAAACTAGCTACCTCCACTTCCAAAACTTCAACTTTATTTTAACATTTGCTTTTGCCAGTAAGTCTTTTCATATATTTTGGATTTAGCCAGGCTAGATGGTTTTGCATGATCCCAACAGGCTATGCTAAGCTAAGCTAAGCTAAACAACGTGTGGCTGAAGTTTCATACTCAATAGACAAATATGAGAGGGCTGCCAATGACCCCATTTACAACATGTCTAAATCAGGCTACCAATGTATTGTACATATTTTCGAGTTTAGCCAGCATCCTTTTGTTTTCTGTCTTTCCACAGCTCCAGTGACTATGGCATCAATAAAGATTGTTGGAGCTCTGCCAATCATGAACCACACTTTCACTCTGACCTGTGAGACAGCTGGAAGTGTGCATTATATTGGCTGGATGTATAATTTGTCCCAACTGCATTCTGATAACACAAAAAACATCTCAATGGACAACGCAACCCTCACCTTTAATCCTGTCACGAACGCTGACAATGGGGACTATAGATGTGAGGCAAACAACGCACTCAGCCACTTTGTCGGCCCCATCTTCTCGCTGGAGGTTTTCTGTGAGTACTCACTTTGCAGTTTAGCAACATGTTCACCCCTTTTGACGGGGGAGGACTTTTTTATGGAGCTATTTCAGGGTCATAAGTTTTGATCATTCAAAAAAATACAATTTATTTGAAAGTTCAAGTTTTTATCCTGAACTTTGAAAAATACAATGATGTATTCAAAACAAAAAAAAGTATTTGAAATAATTTTTCAGGTTGAATATTATTTTGATTCAGTTCAGCAATTTTTTTGAATAATATATTTATTTTCAGATTTCACTTTTATACATATTTTGATATTTGAATCCTTATTTTTTTCCGCACAGATTTTTCGTTTTCAGATTCAAAACAATTTTTTTTCAGTTTCAAATCTTGTTTTTTCAGGTTTCACATTGCTTTTCACCTTCAGATTGTTTTTCACTTTCAGATCTTTTTTTTTCGCTTTCAGATCTTTTTTTTTCGCTTTCAAACTTTTGGCCCTGATATTGCTTCGGGGGGCGGGGCTTACCAAAAAGTAGTTTGGCATCCTGAGTGACAGGCCTCCCTCTGTCATGTTGCCTTCATGGATGTTAGAAAACTAAGACCAGCGTCAAAGTTCCGTTAAGCGAGCTGTTGAGCATCGTAGTTGGCAACAATCAAGTACAAATAAACTGTGTTAGAATGTGAAATTACGTATCTGCAACGAGCCAGCAGGTTGTTCTGGTGGACCTGACGCCATCCCCCGCTGTCTCACGGAGAGATACCGCAGATCCTTCCTTCCTGCAGCGGTCAGACTATACAACCAGCACAGCCCCTAGTAGACCCCGCACAAAACAACACAGACTATAACACCTCTTGTTGATAAATACCAACTATGTGCAATATTTGCAGTATGTGCAACATATATAGGCCGTTAAAAACTGTGCAATATATACCTGGCTGCTAAATCCGCAGAACTGTCACAGGGTGTGTATTATGTAAAATGTGTAACTTTAAAAATATATATAATTTCTTTTTTTAATCTTTAATACTTTTTGTATGCATGCTTAAGGTAACATTAAGCTGTCTTTGGCTCTTGTCTGCTGTAACAATGTAGTCACGATGCTGAAGGCGAAAAAAAGTTGACCTGAGAAGATTTGAACTGAAAAAATAATTTTTTGAGAATTCTGAATGTATCTGAACGAAGAAAAAAAAGTATTCCAAAATATCTTGTATAAAGTGAATATGATAATTTTTATTAAAAATTGGCTGAACTTAATCAAAATAATAATAGGCTACAATCTGAAAAATGATTTCAAAATACTTTTTTTTGGTTTTTGTCTATTTTTTTTCAAAGTTGGTGAACATGGACTTAAATAAATTGTATTTTTTTTGAATGATCAAAACTTATGACCCTGTGGCCCATATTGGCCTTTTCTTGTTGTTTTTGTATCTGCACAGCTGATGTATAATGGCGTTCCAACATTGAACACAGGATGGAGTTCAATTTAATGATGCATAATAAGTAATCACCGGGGATCGGATCAGGTTGTGTGGGACGGAAGCCAACAGTGTTTTGAGCCGTGTCTGAGAAGGCCTGTCGAGGGGAGAGATGAGCTAAACTTGTGACTAAGGTAACTTCGGTCAATGTGCATACATTTGTATACAATTATACTTTGATTGATCGTAGTCTTTATTGTATTTATGTGAAAGTGTTCCCCTTCTCCCCATGTCTGTTGCCGTTGTTGTGTGGACGTGCCCTGTGTTGTCTCCTCCCCCACAGTTAATTGCTCGCCCCTTCCCTGTGTCCGTTGGGTCATTGGTTGTGCATTTAGGGCTCTGGGGTTTTCTGTTTGAGGAAGTGTCGGTGGCTGGTTGACTGTGTGCACAGGAGCAGCAAGATTGAGGATGTGAATCATCGTGGTATCTTAAATAAATGGCCGCACCCACCGGATGTGTATTTTTTGACCAGCTCTGCCTGCTGCCTCCTTGCTTGGTGGGCCCGCTCAAGTGTACGCTTCCCCTGTTTTGTTTCAGCGTGACTGGCGATGCCATATTGAACACATGGATGATACCTAGATGAAGTCCGACTCCGTATGGAGCTGTTTTTCGTCTGGAACATGGTCGACAAGGTCTCCCCGTTCATCCCTCAGTGCTTGAGTATAATTAGGGTTCAAATAGTCAAGCTAGCGGTAGAAGTTGGAAAATAGGGAGTGTACAGTCAGGTAGGAGTCCCATGAGGAATATTCGGCGTGTCGTCCATGGGGATTCAACTGTGCTGGGCTGAGGCCAGAAAGAAAGTCAGAAAAGAACCAAAATAGTTTGCTTGATGCCGTAAGAAAGTTTCCTGACAATGGTGGGAGTTATATTGGAGAGGAAGTAGCAGCGGCTGCTGAGAGAGGCTTAACAAGTGCTTGCTCCAGAGCCTTGAGCAATGATAATTAGTAGGGCTAGTTTTACTCCGAGATAAGAGGTAAGCATGGGCAAGCTGTAATAATGGTTCAATTTAGAAGTAGAAAGTACCGGATATTTGTGTTTCTAACATGTAAGAACATAGAAAAGTACAGGTATTTGTATTCAACATGTAAAAGTAGAAAGTACAGGTATTTGTGTTCAACATGTAAGAAGTAGAAAGTGAAGAGGTTATTTGGTGTTCAACCATGTAAGAAGTAAAGAAATAAAGGTATTTGTGTTCAAAATGTAAGAAATAGAAAGTAACAAGGTATTTGTGTTGCAACATGTAAGAAGTCAGGAAAGAGAGGTATTTGTGTTTTCAAACCATGTAAGAAGTAGAAAGTAACAGGGTATTTGGTTCACATGTGAAGAAGTAGAAAGTACAAGGTAGCTTTGTAATTCAAAGCCATGTAAAGAAGTAGCAAAGACAGGTATCTTGTATTCAACCATGTAAGAAGTAAGAAAGTACGGTATCTGGGTTCAACATGTGACGAAGTAAGAAGTAGCAGGTATCTGGGTTTCCAACCATGTAAGAAGTAAGAAAGTAACAGGTATTTGGGTTCACATGTGAGAAGTAAGAAAGTACAGGTATGATTGGTATCACAGCCATGTAGAATGAACAGTACAGGTATTGGTATTCAACAATGTAAAGAAGTAGAAGTACAGGTATCTGGGTTCAAGCATGTAAGAAGTAGTAAAGTACAGGTAATCTGGGATTCAAACAATGTTAAGACAGTAGAAAGTACAGGTAATTTGTATTCAACATTGTAAAAAAGTAAGAAAAAGTACAGGTATTTGTATTCAACCATGTAAGAAGTAGCAAAGTACCAGGTATTGTGTTTCAAAATGTAAGAAATGAAAAGTACAGGTATTTGTGTTGCAAGCATGTAAGAGTAGAATAGTAGAGGATATTTGTGTTGCAACATGTAAGAAGTAGAAAGTACAGGTATTGTATTCAACATGTAAAAGTAAAAGTAGCAGGTACCTGGAGTTCACATGTAAGAGGGGGGTAGAAGTACAGGTATTGTATTCAACATGTAAGAAGTTAGAAGTACAGGTAATTTGAGTTCAAATGTAGAAGTAGAAAAAGTAGCAGGTTTGGGTTCAACATGTAAGAAGTAGAAAGTACAGTTATTTGTGTTCAAAAACATGTAAGAAGTAAGAAAGTAGGCGGTATTTTGGGTCACAATGAAGAAAGTAGAAACGTACCAGGTATTCTGAGTTCAAAGCATGTAAGAAAGTAGAAAGTAAAGGTATTTGATTCAAGCATGTAGAAAGTAGAAAGTACAGGTATTATGGGTTGCAACAATGTAAGAAGTAGAAAGTACAGGTATTTGTATTCAACATGTCAAGAAGTAGAAAGTAACAGGTATTTGGGTTCAACCATGTAAGAAGTAGAAGTACAGGTATCATGGGTTCAACATGTAAGAAGTAGAAAGTACAGGGTATTTGTATTCAAGCATGTAAGAGTAGAAAAAGTAGAGGTACATTGAGTTCAAGCCATGTAACAGAAGTAGAAAAGTACAGGTATTTGTATTCAACATGTAAGAAGTAGAAGTACAGGTATTAGTGTTCAACCATGTAAGAAGTAGAAAGTACAGGTATTTGTGTTCCAAAATGTAAGAAGTTAGAAAGTACAGGTATTTGGTTCAAAATGTTAGAAGTGAAAGTAGGCAGGTATTTCTGTTCAACCATGTAAGAAAGTAGAAAAGTACAGGTATTTGTGTTCAAAATGTAAAGAATGTAGAAAGTAGCAAGGTATTCTGAGTTTCAAAAATGTAAGAAGTCAAAGGTAAAAAGTCGTCCCAGAAAAAATAAGTGTGGAGTAAGTACTGATCCAGAAAAGTGTACTTACAAGTACAGTCAAGGGCCAGTACCCAAGGCGCGGATTAGTACCTCCGCCGGGGCCCCCCTGGGCACTGAGAGACATGTGTGGGCCAAAGTTATGTCCAAAATGTAATACATTAGCATATTAACTGTCCTTTTTATGTAATAGTTAAGCAACTAACTTTTATTATTAGCTTTTGCGTTGCTTTTCACCGAAATAAACGCACTGGGCCTGTAAGGGTTATAAATTAGACATGAATGATCTCTGGATATATGTGGTGCATATAGAGACACAAAGAAAAAGAGCTTGGCAAAAACAAAATGGAATAGGAATGTTTAAAAGCTAATTTGAGTAAAATGTTTAAGACTATAATAAGCAACAATATTGAACATCTGAAAAAAAATACCTATAAGAAGTGATTGAAGTGGAGAGGCGCTGAGCTGATTTCAAAGAGGTAGATGAGGAGAGGAGATGTGCATTATGTATGTCATCTTGTTATTTAATGGATGATAACGATCCAGGCCAAACTGGCCATTTCGTTGGAGTTGCTAAAGCCTGGCCAACCCAAAATGATTAAGGGGGGGAAACAAGGAACAAGTATGGGCCTTTTGGCATCTAATTTTCAGGGCAAGCGTAGAAGAAATACTGCCTAGAATGGAAATGCTTCGATACCCACCTAAAAGCATTCTCCTATGAGCTTAAAGATCTAATGATGTACGCTGAACTTGGAGAACGATTAAATATAACGTGAAGGGGCTCTTCAAAACTAATTCGGGCTGCTAAATGATAGTGCCTAGCATAAAGCTGAACTTAAGACACTAAAAATTTAGAAGAAAGAACTATGAAAGTTGTGCTTTTTTGTGTTTTTGTTTCTCGTCTTTATATACATGTATGTGTACCACTGTAAACAGCACCCCTATAAAAGATCTACTCATAAAGTGAGGTAACATTGGGGCAACCGACTTAATTTGAGTAATTTACATGAAACTGAAAATGTAACATATAAAGACTCACTTTAAGAGCTTTAAGGCCATGTTTAACAAGAAGCCTAGTAACAAATATAGGCTTTGTTGTCTAGCTAATTAAATCTTATTTGCAAATAAAACCAGGGTTTGACTTTTTAAAATGATTTGAAAAAATGAGTGGCAACCGATTAAAAGCAAAAAAGCTCTTCCCAAAACTAAATACAAAAAATGTTCAGGCGCAGTCAAAATTGCCGATCTATCTAATCAATCAAATACATTTGACTAACTTTGCATATAAAAATAACACAATTAAAAATGTCATAATGTAGAAAATTCCTTAAAAAATATGAAAAATGGAGGCTGGCTCTGCTCCGCTTGGTAAATCTAGTCCAGTCGCTCGACAATAATATACAGTAAAGCCTTTGGCGATAACTGTAAAAAATACCTGTCTATAGGCTTACTGCTGGCAAGTTACACCCATTCAAAAAATAGCAAAGGAAATCATGCAAAATGAGATAAGCTGGGGCCCTGGCTGAATAATATCGATTGTTATTATTCACTAGAGACTAGTCGCGAGAAAGTTGTCTCCGGTAATTTCTAATTTCATCACGCGTGCATATACACGCTCCTTGTTCACGAGGAGACGGGGGCTTGGAGTTAAACATTGTGTCCGTTAATCAAACCGGACCCAAGCAAAACTGTAATTTAACTCATTACCATCCCCTGTTAAATCACCAGGATCCGACCCAAAACAAGCAACCAATATATATAGTACATATTACGCCGGACCAGACCCCACGAAGAAACCTGACGGCCGACCGTTAGATAGACGGAGAGACGCTAAAAGCCTAGCTTCCAACCTTAGTTTAGCCCTTGTGGCATAATTTAGGGCTGCCAACACTCCATGCAACAGCGAGGCCCGGTCCCTAGCGAAATGAGACAGGTTCTTCCTGGCTTCAGTAAAAGTTGGAACCGATATTGGGAGAATTCTGAATTTCCGGATCAAATAACTCCCATTAACAAACGTTATTCAGACACAAATGGACGTCTCCCTAAGTACGCGTGTGAGGTTGAAAAGGCAACTACAATCACATTTTGAAAAAAAAAAAGCCCCCGAGACGCCGCCGCCCTCGACGAGCTGGAACAAGCATTAACTTTAGGGCCGCGTTCACACCCCCCGAGTATTTTCCCACTTTTAAGTTCGCGATATATTTCCTGATGTGTCTCGTTGCACACCAAAAAAGGCCGGAAACTAAAATTAGTTTAAATGAGAACCTTTTTTAAACCCGCTTTTCCCGTCCGCTGCTAGAGAGCAGGGACTTCAATGGGCGGCTCACGTTTTGAGAAAAAAAAAGAAGCTAATATTTCTGAAAGGCTGGACGGATTGGCAAACCAAACGCCCCCCGTAAAAAAAACAAAAAAAAGTGTTGTGAAGGCCACCAAATGTTTATTATCCCTCCTGCATTAGCATTATTAAGCCATTAGGCATTAGCCCCCAGCGGCAGAAAACGGCCGAGACCCCTCCAAACTTATGGCAACACAAAATAAGCATGGGAGCAGTGGAGATGAGGAGGTGTGCGGCGTTCTGGCGAATTTACTCGGGAAGCCAGTCCGCAAAGCCAGCTTCTAACTGGAAAGCCAGTCCGCCAAAACTTCCCGGGGACTCTCCGGCCGGGAATTTTGGGCCCCGGGCAGTAATACGCCGTGAAGTTTGTTTGCGGCCTGCCCAGTAAACCCAAAAGCAGAAAAAAGAAAGAAGTGAGCGTTCAGCATTGGCCTAATCCAGCCCCAGGGAACTTAATTCCGGTGGTGAACCGCGATCCCTGTAAATTTAGTTCTATCAGAACTAAAAGAGTTCTGATGAACGCTTGTGGAAAAAGTACTGGCGGTGTGCAAACGGGCCTAATTTGGTCTCTAATTAGTGATTAGCAGAGCCTCTCCCAAGTCTCACGCATGTTGGCCCTGAGACCACGCATTTCCTCCATTCACGCCCACCGG